ACAAAGTTTACAAAGGGATAGTCAATATCTGCATAATGGCTGATCTTTCATCAAAAGCTCAAGTGGCCAAAAGGTATTGTTCATGCTGGTAATTCGCATTACTTCTCCTGCATATTCTTCAAGATGATCTGACCTCATTCCTTTTTTTCCTCGCTTTTGAAAGATTGGAAGGTAAAGTGGCTCTGATCACTGGTGCAGCTCAAGGAATAGGTGCTTGTATAGCAAGAGAATTCGTCCATCATGGGGCTAAAGTAGTCTGTGTTGATATCAAACAAGAGCTGGGGCGATCTGTTTGTGATGATTTGGGCACTGAGAATGCTTCTTTTCTCTACTGCGATGTAACCAAAGAATCTGATGTAGAAAATGCAATTAATCATACCATTAACAAGCATGGAAAGCTGGATATCATGATCAACAATGCTGGCATAGTAGATGAAGGAAAAACTAGCATCCTAGACAACGATCTTTGCGATTTTGAACGTGTGATGCGGGTTAATCTCTCAGGTGTTTTCCTAGGCATCAAACATGCAGCCCGGGTGATGATCCCAACGCGAAGTGGGAGCATCATTAACCTGGGAAGCATTTCAGGAAGCATTGGAGGGATAACCTCCCATTCATATTCGAGTTCAAAGCATGCTGTTGTGGGCTTGACAAGAAATGCTGCTGCAGAGCTTGGGAAGCATGGAATCAGAGTCAACTGCTTGTCTTCTCATGTTGTTTTGACACCATCGTCTCAGAATTTCTTCAATTTTGGTGAAGAAGGACAATCAAGAGTTTACACAAACCTTGAAGGGATGGTTTTGAAGCCTGAAGATTTAGCCAATGCTGCTGTCTATTTGGCAAGTGATGAGGCAAGGTTCATGAGCGGACACAATCTCATGTTAGATGGAGGATTCACTGTCACAAATCCTGCTTTTGGATTGTTTTCAAGATTCTAGTGCAGACTTCGTCTTTAGAATTATTTATGTACTTTAGGATACGTAAAAAGTAGACGAAACAATAAATTGATTGTAGCTACATATGAATTTTAACTTTTCTGTCTTCGTTTTGGCTTTTTGCACTCATAATTTGCTTCTTTCTTTTTTTTTTTTTGGCGAATGCTGTACACTTAGTTTACATGAATATAGTGCTACAACAATTAACTTACTTAAAAACGATATTGCAACAAAAAAAACTTTCTGCTATGATTTTGAGGCAAATAATATAACGATAGAGAAACATGGTTAGGGATGGCAATGGGGCGGGTGACCGCAGGCACCCGTCCCGTGGGGGGCTAATGGGGAGGGGGTTGGGGCAGGGACGGGGGAAATTTTTTTCCCCCCGCTTAGAAACGGGGCGGGAGAGTGTACCCCCACCCAGTCACCCGCTTTAAAAAAATAAATATATAAAATATATATGTATATAATTATATATAATATATAATTTAATTAGTTATAAACTTATGATAATGATATTATTAGTTATATATATTATATAATGTCTATTAGTATATATAATATAATTGATATTATTAATTATACTAATAATTAGATATATGTACTAATACAAATTATTAATTGGTTATACTAAATTTACTAATACATTTATACTAAATCCCTAATTACACTTAATACAATACATTTTTTTCTTAAAAAAAGCACGAGCACAATAATGAATTAGTGATTGTATTTGTGCCAAAAGTGAAAACTTGACTACTTTAGTTATATTTATTTCATCATGTTGGATTGTATTCAAATAATTTTTATTTGATTGTTTTTATAAGTTTCAATTGTAAAATTACAATGAATAATAATTTGATGATGTGTTGATATTTTAGTACTTGATTATTTGCTAAAATTTAACCATAATAAAATTATATAACAATTTTTTATTAACCCCGCGGGGGAAGCGGGGCGGGGCGTGGGGAGCGGGGGATGGGGGATGAGGCGGGGGCGGGAGGAGTTTGTAGGACCCCTCCCCCATCCCCCGCCCCGTTGCCATCCCTAAACATGGTTCTGGATATTACATAGTTAAAACAAAAATATTAAAGGGGATAATATGCCTTATTTTTAAACTTCGAATAGAAAAATAGATATTAAATCAAACTTGAGGGGGTAATGCGAAAATTAAACTATTTATGTTTTGTTTGGGGACTCAAAACCAAATTTATAAGTTGAGAGACTGAATAAGCACTTTTAAAAATTGAGAGATCAAATAGAATTATTATTAAAATTTGAGGGACTGTCGTAGTCATTTACCGATAGAAGAATAAAGACAAGAATCACTAGGAAAACAAGAAAAGAAATAAATAAATAGAGGAGTTCCAGCATTTTATTGACGCTGGAGGGTTAGTGTTTCAGGAAGAAATGTAATTAAGTCAAAGTCTCAATAAATGCGAAAGTAATTATGAGTATGTGCATCTAAATCAAAAGTTATGCGTAAATTAGTTATTTCAACAATCATAAATTGAAATTTCTTTTAACCTCAAACAAAATTAATGGTCACAATTATATGATTACAAAGATTTAGTGGCCCAACAAATTTTTTTCTCCCCAAAGGAAAAAAACGCAGAACTATGAATCAATTTCGATCATATCATATTGGTTCTTTATTCTGTCCGATTCTAATGAGCAGTTTTTTCTCTTTTAATAGAACTTCTCGGTTAAAATTTTTTTCCTTTGTTCTTTCTCAGATTTCATTTGTCAAATCTAAAATCTTAGATATTGTTAATTTGGGTCTTATGGCTTTGAAGTCGAAATAGAGTTTGTTTGGTAGCTTAGTTCGGATTAGACTACGCAATTATTTTCAAGTAACTTCTGAACTCCAAAAAAAAAGGTCCTGTGATCCCATTTAACACCATTATTGAAGGTGTCGACGACATCTGAACTGGCTTGCAAACTTTCACGTTTGGATATTTTTGGCTTTTCAATAGTTAAGCCAATTGTATATATTTTCCCCTTTTTGAAAATGTATAACTATGGCCGTTCCATCTGTTTCAGTACCCAAAGCTAACGGTTTTTTTTTTTTTCCTAGTAGGGGAGAGGTGAGATTTAAGAAATGAGGAGGGGACGAGAGAATTAATTAAAATTCAAGATTTCTAATTTTTGGAACCACAATTGAACCAGCCATTTGCGTGATGAGTGGGTTAAAATTTTAGGGCATTTTTCTCATTTTGGTAAAGCGCCTCAGGATCTCATTCAACATATGAATTGGACCAAACAAATGCTATGAATTGTTCATCGATATATAACACTTGACAACTTAATGCTAATTAGGTTTTCAAAATAGCTAGAAAAATGCTATTAGAGTACACCATTTTGCTGTAAAAATTTGGAGGATTCGTGCCAAGTTCATCACTGATTTGAACTCTCTCATTTCAAAGAATTTTTACTGTAAGATTAAAAGGATTTGGCGAAGGACTTGTACGACTGTGGTGGAATTGCCATCTTCGACTTTATATCTAGCCTTATTTGGCCAAATACAAAGGAAAATGAGGACATATTCGGAATCTACATGGAAATTTGATAAACAATTCCAAGTCGCTTCTCCAACAAGTCCAAATTTGAAAATTGAATGGACCAGTAAGGAATACTTGATCTTATGCAAGACAAATACTGGATTTTATGATTGGGAGCTAGAGGCTCCAACTCTCTTCACAAGCATTTCTATGTATTTGTTAAAATGAAGTTTTAGTTATTTTATGATCAACAACAAAATATAATAAAATAGAAATATCCTTAGCTAAATTACTTTTGTTTGAACATAACTAGCTGCCAGAAGTAAATAAGAAACATGGGTAACTTGGATGTTGAATAGAAGTAATCGCGAAAGACTGAGGACTAGAAGATTAAAATTTGGCAATAATTTGGAATAGTCCAAAAGCTTGGTAGCTAATCTCCAGCTTGTGCATTTGTTTATGTTGCCATTTCTACGAAAGACATCAATTTCACATGCAAGTGTAGAAACCAATAGATGCATTGCATCTCAATTCTTGACTGCTTAATTAATTCATTAGGTCATCAGGAAGAAATGAGATTTATTTTTAGACATGCGAGTGGTGCAGCTATACAATGACTTCAACAGCCAAGTGGGACGCATTGTTCTCTTATCTAAATGCCTTGGTGCATAATTCATCTGAACAGGAAATATGTGCTTCTTGTTTTATATTCTTGTCTTTTTACAAGAAGGGGGCACAGGTTCAGGTTTGAGGATCTTTCCAATTTGGTATATTATATGGATCTTGCCAAGAGATAAAGGTTTTTGGTCAAACTAGTTTCCAACCAGGAAACTCCACGGACATTGCTCAACAACCTTCAAATGTATAATATGATTGCAGGAACCAACCCGAATACTGGAAGTTATGGCAAAGCCACAAGTCACCTTGGCCAGTTGAGGACATGTCCTTTTACATAACGTGAAAACTGACAATGAAATCTATGAAGATTGCAACTGTTATGCAGGCGTACCTATTGAGATATATGCAGTATATTTGACTATGTTAATATGACAAATTAGGAAAATTGGATGCCTAATTGCAGTAAAACTTCTAACTTGAGAAAACTAACAGTCCCAATAATGCTAGAATATTAGACATAGTCTCAATACAAGACTGCAAGAAAAAAAAAAAGCTCGTTTTATGGACATAAGGTCACCAAAAAAGAAGTGGGCGAGATATTCTTTTTTTCTTCTAAACTGTTTTTTTTTTTTTGGTTGGCAAAAGTGTTACAATTCTAATAGAAAAAACCCACCTATAATTAATACCACTAAAGCATTCTCAAATGACATGTTGTCTCAAATTCAGCATGATCCTTGAAGATGAAGGCCACTTGAATTAAAAAGTAAGCCTGGCAGCACCTCACTGGTGGTGGGGTCAACAAAAGGCAGCTAGTAAACCTCTTATATTTTATTGTTAATGGTAGTTAAGTTGCTTGGCTATAAAATGGGGCTAGGTTTTGGCAAAGACACACACCAACTTCTCTCTCATTTCTAGCTCAAGTTCACAAAGGAGTTATCATCACATAATGGCTAATCTTTCATCAGAAGCTCAAGTTGGCAAAAGGTACTAGTGCTGCCGATTCTCATTCCTTCTCCTGCGTTTTCTTGAAAGATAATGATCTGACACGGCTTTTTTCTTTTTCTCTTTTGTTTTCCTAAATATTAAAGGTTGGAAGGTAAGGTCGCTCTGATCACTGGCGCAGCTCAAGGCATAGGTGCTTGTATGGCAAGAGTGTTCGTCAATCATGGGGCTAAAGTAGTGTGTGTTGACATAAATGAAGAGCTGGGGCGATCTGTATGTGACGATTTGGGCGCCGAAAATGCATCTTTTCTCTATTGTGATGTAACCAAGGAATCAGATATTGAAAATGCAATTAACAGTACCATTCACGAGCATGGAAAGCTGGATATCATGATCAACAACGCTGGCATAGCAGATGAAGGAAAAACTAGCATCCTAGACAACGATCTTTCCGATTTTGAACGTGTGATGCGTGTTAATCTCTCAGGTGTTTTCCTAGGCATCAAACATGCAGCCCGGGTGATGATCCCAACGCGAAGTGGGAGCATCATTAACCTGGGAAGCATTTCAGGAAGCATTGGAGGGATAACCTCCCATTCATATTCGAGTTCAAAGCATGCTGTTGTGGGCTTGACAAGAAATGCTGCTGCAGAGCTTGGGAAGCATGGAATCAGAGTCAACTGCTTGTCTTCTCATGTTGTTTTGACACCACTGTCTCAGAACTTCTTCAATTTTGGTGAAGAAGGACAATCAAGAGTTTACACAAACCTTGAAGGGATGGTCTTGAAGCCTGAAGATCTAGCCAATGCTGCTGTTTATTTGGCTAGTGAGGAGGCAAGGTTCATGAGTGGACACAATCTTATGTTGGATGGAGGATTCACCGTCACAAATCCAGCTTTTGGATTGTTTTCAAGATTCTAGTGCCTTCTTGATGTAGTTCAGGATTAATTATATTCCTTGAAAACGTAAAAGCAACTACAAATTGACACTGGAATTTAGGCAAACTTGAATTCTGATTTTTTTTTTTTTTATCTGCAATGTAATTGGCTTGATCACAAGTTACACTTTTTCTATAAGTTGCGTACGTTATAAACACATAAATTAGTATAGTGCCTACAGTAACTTTAACTAAAATACACAATTCCTATAATGTGTAGCTTACGACTATATACTGAAGCAAATTATCGTTGTGATTTGCTAAAATCTAGGTTAGTGTCCATGTTAGGAACACACAAATTTTTTGTATTGTTACATGAATGAACTCATGTAGATTACTTTTCTTCAAATTTCCACCTTGTAGGGAATTATATAGATATTTTGAAATATTTCGAGGGTCATCTAATAATGGACTAAACTATGGGAAATGCATCATATTTTTCACATATTCTTAGGCCATGTATTTATACTATATGCTAATATAAGTGATTATCCTCGTCTATTAAGTTGTCAATTTTCAGCTGACATCAATGTATTCTCTAATTGGCTTGGAGGTCACACTAGGTAATTTCATGAGAATCTAGCAGATCGATTCCTTTTTAGAACATAAGACAAATTAAACCTAAACTACAAAACTCAGTACACTTGTGCATGCGGAACTATCGTGGTCGGAAACAGGGAGCTGATGATGAAGAGAGACGAATAGCATCCACCGACCATTACGTCCTTTTTTTTTCTTTAATTGCAAGTTCTCAATCTATTATTTTAATCATGGTTGAGAATTAATTATATTTTCCTTTAAAGTTCCATGATATAAAATTAACATTAGGGTGGTAGCCACGAGACACGAGCTCAAATACTGGTGCACTCCAACTCAAACTCGAAATAAGTTAAGATCGAGCTAATAAATTATTAGATAAAGGATTCTTGAATGAACTAATAATTGAAAATAGATTATTATATCTCACTTAAGCATGATCATCTTGGAGTTAATGTCAAAATAAGTATCCTCTATGATCAAATTTTGAAAAATGACTTTACTAAGCCAAGTAAACTGATTATACTAGGCCAATCACAAAAGGCACCCATTACCTAAAACAATGCTACCTTTTTTTTTTCTTTTTGAAATTTTCTAACGATAAACCGAATTTTAGAAATAAGTATAGAGCATAAAAAATATTATATATATATATATATATATATATATAATAATAATAATATTTTGATGCTGTCTATTGTGGGCAGGGATGAAAAGGGGGTCAGTGAAGAAACTAGAGGTTATTCGGTGAACAATGATGTGAACTGTGAACAGGCTGCTGGAATAGTACACAGTTGAATTTAGAAAAAAGTTTTATCATTTTTATCCCTAATAATTTGTAAAAAGTTAATTTACATATGTTCTTATAAGTAATAGCTCTTTATGATAGTTCTTAACTAAAAAAAAAAAAAGACATCACTAATTACATTAATTATTCTAATGATAACTACAAGTACTAGTCCAATGCTTTAAGGAACTTAATCCACTAATGAGTTTGAACTAAACTAGTTAGCGAACTAAATTCGAACGAACTTTTATCAAACCGAGTTCGATTCAAGTATCTGAGTAATTTAATTCATCAGACTGAATTCGATTTAACTATCGAATAGTTTGATTTATTTTTCAACCCAACTTTTCACTACATGGAGATGCCTCCACCACAGAGGAATTCATATCTTTTGACAGATGAGGAGATACATCAACAAAATACAAAACTAGAAGAGTAATTTATGCTTTTTTGGTTTCGTGACTCTCTGACCAATCATGTGAACCAAAGGCATAAGAAAGCAAATGGGCAATATGAAAACAAAATTATAGATGTAAAACGCGGATAAAACTTCAATGCCTTTACCAACTCCCCAGTAAAATAAGTTAATAAATCCTATGTAGCAATCCACTGATTCCTTGATCATTGAAAATTTTAACAAGTCAACCATTAATTAATAGTAATCTGTAACATGTTTGGAGCAGGAAATGAATTTCTAATGGGATGCCTACTCAGACAACTCTAATGCAGTGCAGAAATTTTGAGAGGGCTCGTACTAAAAGAAATTGGTCAAGAAACAAAGAGGTTGCATTATGAAAACAACTTCTACCAAGTGTTTGAGATATCTTAGAAAATCGACCTGTAACCGAGGTTTGAAATTGAAAGGAAACAGTGTTAGATATAAGGAGCAGGATCTTTAGTATGATTTGTAAATTATAATTAATAAATAAATTCTAGATTAATATATCTTGAGATATTGAAAACATTTTGAAGAAGAATTTCACAGCCCTTTCAGCAAGCCTTCCAATCACCAAGGTTATAAACTATAATCCTTTGTTGTCTAGCCTTCCCTCACCTGACTCTCTATTATGTTATTGTAGTGATGGGTAAAAATAACGAATGTCAAAGTGGTGAGAGGGACCAGGAGCCCTAGAGTATTTATAGAGTCACAATCCCTCCCATCATAGAATTGTGATAGACTCTAATTACTTTAGATATATGATACTTTATTATGATAAGATATAGCTTAATAATCACTGTAATTATTAGATAAAAATACCACATATAATACGTCCACATACAACGAATATGGGACTCCCTACTTTTTCCAGTTATCTATTCTCATTAGAATTCTGTAATTAGTTATTCATATTTATTCATATGGTTATTTATCCTTCTAATTAACGGGAAATATCATATGTGGTCAAGTAGGCCACATAAATATTCTAACATTCTCCCACTTGGACAAATGACCACATAAACAATAACCATACAGAATCAAATAAATCAAGTAGAGTGGCCACAACATTTAATTATGTTTATCCTACACTGTCGTTAGAATGAATCATGGCGGTCATATATCAATTTGAATATATTTCCTTCCATATATCACAATTCTAACAACTTAATGTAGATAAACCTAATGAGGAAGAAATGGACAACAACTTTGATGTCCATTTAATGGTCCAAATATTAATCCTGTGCATAATTCTCATGACAATGTGCACAAACAACAGGAATTAATATTTTACACTTATATGTCCAAACATCAATAATAGCAAAACCCCATTGAACTTATATGTTCGCAAAATCTTTTGGCACCAATATTCCATTAATGGGTATGCTCAAATGGACACCTTAAATTTGACATATTTTATAGAACAATGTAATACATGATTCACTTTAATGTGCTTAAATCCATTAAAGCACTTACTGTTCTATAAAGATACAATAATGGAAAGTCTCAACAAAACATAATGGACTTAATTATCCACAAATAGTTAGAAATATTGACGGGATGTTTTTGTATCAATGCAAGTTTAATTCCGATTTTACACCCGTTGGACTGCAAGTATACAGGTCGAAATTTTAGTACAAGATGTGTATCGGGTCGATCCCACGAGGAGCAATTTAAACAATTACTAAGCCCCTGTTCTCTCTATTATTTAGACTTACCATTAATTTTGAGCAGAGAAAATCTAATGCTGTAATCTACAAATCTGATATACAAATCTAGTTTAACAAATGCTGAATGCAAATAGAGAAATTTCACTTAATGAAGATTCTAGGGATGTAGATTCCACTTATGGCATAAACTACACAAATAAATGGATTTACTTCTTGCTATTCTTCTTGCTTAACCAGAGATTTATTTCCAAGATTACCAAGTCTCATTTCCATGATGAAATGGCTTAGAGCAATATAGATTTCCCTATTTCCATGGTGAAATACTACTACAACTCTGTTTTAATTCATGAAATACTCAGTAATCCACTTAAGTGTATTTCTATTTTCATGAACATACAACTCAAGCTCTACTCATGTGTTTCCATTGTTATTACCAATTCTCATTGAACAATAACAACTGTAAACAAGTTATTGGTGATCAAACAATAACAAGAAATCACAGCTACACAAGTAGACAAGTTAACTCAAGATATAACAAGTGTAAATCACATTCAATTAGTATTATTTAGCCATAAGTTTCATCTACTCCCTAGATGAAGGAGTTTAGCTACTCATGAATGATTTAACAATCAAATTCACAAGTTTATTAATGCAAAACATCATAAAGTACAAGTATAAGAAAGATAAAAGAAAGCTTAGCCAATTGAAGGTGAAGCTCTCCAATTCCTGCTATGTTCTTGCACAATATGATTACAAGTGAAAACTCTCCAAAAAAATGCTTCTCCAAGTATTCCTATCTAGAGAGAAAACTTGTTGCAAGAAGGAAAACTAGCTACGTATGGTCCTCCTTGCTTCTCCCTTGTGTTTCTGCATAAAAGGTGAGAGAAATTCCATTCCTCTCACTTCATAATTTCCTCCACTTAGATTTTGTAAAAAGAAGTCAAAGATATGATGTTCCTTTTGTCCACACTCATTTGGTCTTCTCTTTTATTGCAGAAGCATGTGCCACCGATTCCTGTCCCTCAAAATAGCTGTAAAAGTTGTGAGAAAGGTAAAGAAAAACGGCTGTGCCACTTGCTGAGGAGAGAGACAGATCCGAGCCTCGGATCCGAGGAGTGATAATGGATCCGAGCTCGGATCATAGGATCCGAGGCCTTCCCATGATGGATCCGAGGTCGGATCGTCCTGACCTCGGATACACTCCGCCAGAAGTACAGACGAGGGGTCGGATCCCTCTTGTACACACGGATCCGAGCTCGGATCCGTGTTGAGCATTTTTCCAGTTTTTCACTTCTTCCCTTTTTCTACATTTTTGCTCCCACTTTCTTGTGTACTTTGTCCTCTGGATGACCCTGACATTTCTTTCAACTTGTGCATGAATTTCATACATCAATTACCTTCACAATTTCACAAAATTACGCATTAATCCACTCATTTATCAATTTCTTAACTCTTAAACAATATTTAAGCAATCATCACCAAAAGAGTTTAAATATGGCTTTAATCTTCTCAAAACATACCAAAAATTCATGCCAAATTCATACAAAATGTACGTTAAATATTCACTTATCAAATTCCCCCACACT